TATGGGGGCGGGGGGCGAAGGGGGGCAGCCTGTTACAGTTTATACTAAGACTTAAGCTCAGCTGTCTGAAAAGCTAAGAGGAACCTTAAATTGTTTTTACACCCATAGTACAATATAATGTGGGAGATGATGGATGTGTTTGAGAAAATGAGGGGAGGCAAAAAGTCTACATTGCTCCTTGATGCTAATTTCTCCCTTGAGGTGATTTTAACAACTGTGAAATATCCAACTTGAAATAATTAAGTTTCTGTGTTTGTTCAGCAAACGTTAACCAAGAAATATAAGGGAAGCAATTAAGTATTGTGTGCTACCAAACCCATTCAAATTTTAGTATGTACTAAAAGTCGTATCCTTATGTGAAATCACCCACAGTAAGTTGCCCTACCCTGAGGCACCTCATTTTAGTGTCTAGGTGGTTTTAGGTCTCTCTATTTGAACAGAAGAAAGTCTTCATTAAAAAGCATAACCAGGGAGGAATGCAAATGAAGAGATTCATCTTCTGTACCAATAGGCAGATTCAGGATTTGCATAGGTCTGATCACCTAGGCTCCATCAACACTTAGTAGAGAGAAGCAGGCAGTTCTCAGTTACGATTGATCCCATTCTTGGGAAAAATAATTTTGAAATTGCAAGGCTTCTCAGCCTAAAAAATACCAGTGGATCAAAGACAACTTGCCTAGTTGGACAATTTACTTAATGGGATTTAAAACCAGTTTATAGTTTGGTTCACTTAAACCTCTGGGAAAAATGTCTCCTTTCACAAAAGGGACAAAATAATTTAGCATCACCAAGGACAAAGAATCAGGTCTTCAGCTGATGTGAAACTGGTATAGCTCCAGCAAAGACCAAGTGGCCAAGACTGATGAATCATTTCTCATGTACAAAAGCTCCCTAAGCAGTCCTAGGGTAAACCCACTGTATGCCATTGACAGCTACGGTGTCAAGGACAGGCTACTCTACAAGGGAAGGTGAGCTAGGAACTGAGGGTCACAGCAAGGGAGGAAGGTTTCTACATCACCAACAAGGAGCCAGGAAGTCAAATCAGCAAACTCAGGGTAAGAATCAGGTTTGGAGATTGTAACCAGCATCAGCCAAGAGTCCAGTGATCACCCAGCAAATCTCAGGTGGCAATTCAGATCCAGTCAAGCCAAACAGGACTGATGTCCGGAATAAGGAGGTACAAGACTTGCTGCAGACAGAGCTGCAACATAGCTCCTGTGTAGCACAGATGGGAGCTAAGGACAAGATTCTCAGTTAAAGGCAGTTCCAAGTGGAGGTGGGGTTATGACCAGGTTTATTACCAGTTTCTTAATGACAGCTGTTATCAGCAAGCCATCCTAAAGCTAAATGAGAAAGATGGAAGTGCACTGCAGTCCCTCATAAATGTAACTTTCATCATACTATGGTGAATACGCACCAACCCCAATAAAACCTCAGCCAAATAGTCATCCAGGTCAAGCCATTGTAGCTGTACTGCAGTAAAGAATTGTATTGGTGCCATTTCTGAGCCAGCCAGGCCACGACAGCATCCCTACTTCCCCATGGAACAGCTCCACAGAAAGGAAGGGGTTTGGTGTCCCTGCACCCTGATGCCTGACTCAGTGTCATGGGGTGCTGGAACCCAGCCTGCAGCAGCCCCATATGGGCCTTCCCCATGTCCTCACCACAGCTGGGGGCACCCGAGATGAACACATGGAGCAGGGACACCGGGTCCCAGTTGTACTTGGAGGGGTCAGATGGTACCCTGCCACATTGCACAGGGGACATATCCCCCCGGTTGTGTTTGGAAGTAATCAGGGCACTCCATAGCAAACTTCCCCTTGGCTGTGGTTTCAGTTCTGCCTTCGACCCCAACATGGGCAGCCCCAGGAAAGGGGAAGAGAAACTGCAGGGTGAGGGGATGCGCCAGGGGACAGCCAGGGAGGAGCAGTGGATAGGGGACATTGTGGGGGTGGGGCCAGCTCTGGTCCCCCCATTGACCCTCCAGTGCTGAACACTGGTAACAATGGGGACAGAGCAGGAGTATGGACTCCACCATTCCTGTTCGCATGCCCGGGGGCATTTGGAGAGGGGGATAGGGTTCCCCACCAAAGATGGTGGGAAGGAGAGGGGAGTGCCAGGTTGCAGCCCAGCCCCAGGCCCTCTCCTGGGGACATTTATGGGAGCGTTGGAGCTCCCCAGCACTGCAGGGAAGCAGAGAGGCACCTCCCAGGCCCCACGGTGTGGATGGAGCTCCGTGGAAATGGGGAGGCTATTCAACCACTGCAGCCCCCTGGAATGGACCTCAGGGCAGGTCGAACATGGTCCCATCCCTGGCCCAGCTTGGCCATCCTGCCTGGCCGAGTGCTGCCACTCCAAATGTCTGTGACTGTCAGTGGGAAACAGTCCCTTCCAGGCCCCGCAGCCTATCTCTCCCCTTGGGGACCATCACACTGGAGCTGTTCCAGCTCATCCACTTCCTACACCCTGAGATGAACTCCTGGAGGAGCTGCTTCCTCCAGCCCTGCCTGCATCCATTTCCAACCCTGCAGCGTGGGCCAGGCGGGAACCACTCATCATCTCCTCCTTGGGGAGCCCCTTCCCCAGCATCAGGCCAGCAGTGCCAAGGGGTCAGGGGATATAAGCAACTCTCCTCACTCTTGCCCCCCTGAGCTTTCCATGGCCACAGTCTTCACCCGCACACCTGCTCCAGCTCTGCTCCTGTTGGTTTATCACATCACGGCTTCTACCTGCATCCCTTCAGTGTGGCCTGGATGTGGGATGCCTGAGAGATAACAAAGAGGCATGGGGCCAGAGCAGAGCCTGGGGCCATGGGGAGCCCAGGCATGCGGCCAGGGTGTGGGAACAATGTTTGTCTCCTCTGTGGGAAAGACAGCAACATAGGGGCAAACCCACCTGGTCAAGTAGGCATCACAGAGCTGATGGAGATGTTTGTTCTATGCAGGGCCAGACATGCTGGGCACAAGTGGAAGGGACGTTTGTGTAAGGGATAGTGGATGTCCATCGCCAGGTGGTACCTCCACCTGTAACGGGAGTAGAAAAGAAGGGTTGGGTCACCCATACTGCCCTGATTGTCAAAGTGCTGCTGCAGCCATGAGGGACCCCTCCTGCAGCCGGTGGCATGGCCTCACTCCCACCCAAGTTCCCCCAGCCCTCACAGCCATACTCAGGGTGCCCCAGCCCAGCCCATCCCAAGCAGGAACATTGTGCCCTCCCCAAAACCTCAGTGCCAGCCCCATTGGCTGCCAGGACCACTAACACCAGTGGAGCTGCCTGGGAAGAGCCACCCTGACAAGAAGTGTGCTGCCACATTTCTCACAGCCCCTTCCTCCTGCCGCTGCACCCACTACTGCACGCTCGGGGCCTCGCTGCTGACACCATGCAGCCCCCTTGCCGCTACCTACTCCTCCTTCTCTACCTCCTCTTCCTCTCTGGGACATGGGCAGACCTGGAGGGTAAGTGGGAGCCCTGGCTTATCCACATCTTCTCCCATGCCCCCATAGGACCCTACAGGAGAGGGGCTTCCTGCTCCCCACCCGCCTTGGGCACTTGCCTCCTCACCCCTCCTTGTCCCCTGGCTCCACAGCTCCTCCCTGGTGGGGATGCAGCCACCCCAGCTGGGTGCAGAGGGTGGGAGCTGGGGCTGCTAAGGATGCAGGGGGCTTATGGGGGCCCGCAGGTCCCTGCAACCTCGAGGAGAGGATACGTCCCTCAGCCCTTCCACTTTCCCCAGCTCTCTCCTCCTACTCCCATCTCCCCCTGTCAACTTCATCTCGCGTAGAGTCCTTCACTGTCCGGTTGCTCCAGACCTCCACCTTCCAAAACACCTCCTTCGTGGACACAGAGGGGCTAGGCCTGCTGGAAGACATCGAGCTCGGTTCTCTTGATAAGCACACCTGGACCATCCGCTTCTACCAGCCCTGGGTGCGCCCAGCCCTGCCCCGCAGTGACTGGGACACCATTCAGAACATGATCAGGATCTACCTCCAGCAGTTCAACCACCTGATCAATGAAGGTGCCATGCAGAAGGATGTGCCCTGTGAGTACCTGGTCTTCTCTGCGTCCCCTCTTCAAACAGTATGTGGGAAGTGGGGAAGGACCCGGGATTGCTGGCACTGCACAGGGGATGCTGACCATGCCTGCAGAAAGGCAGTCCCAGACCCTCATGCAACCTCTCTCTCCTCCCTGCTCCTCCAGACCCCTTTGTGGCCCAGTGCATGGCAGGCTGTGAACTCTACCCCAACAGGACCTCCCGGGCCTTTGCCTATGTGGGCTACAATGGCCAGGACTTTCTCAGCTTCGATGTGGACAATGCCACTTGGCTCCTCTCCCAAGACACCAACCTGTCACGGTACGTCCAGGCTGTTCTCCAGAACTTTACTGCTTTCAGTGAGTTGGTGGAAGTCCTTTTCAATGATACCTGTGTTGACGACATGGAGCTGTTACTGCACTATGGGAGGGCAGCTCTGGAGAGACAAGGTAAGACCCTCCCTGACCCTGGCACAGCCACCCCAAAGACCCACAAATACTGGGGCCAAGTGGTGCCCCACCAGGGCTCCCCACACCCCTTTGCTCTCGCCCCCCAGAGCTGCCTGTGGCCACGGTCTTCGCCCGCACACCCAAACCAGACCAGCTCCTGCTGGTTTGCCATGTCACTGGCTTCTACCCACGGCCCATCAGCGTGGCCTGGCTGCAGGATGGACAGGAGGTGCCGCCGGGCCCAGCACTCAACACCAGCACCATCCTGCCCAACTCCGACCTCACCTACCAGATCCGCAGCATCCTGGCCGGGGCCACCCGTGACAGGCACAGTTATGATTGCCGTGTGCGCCACCGCAGCCTGGGCAAGGGCAGCCTCCTCATCCCATGGGGTAGGTGCCACCCATGGGGACAGGGATGGGGATCCTGAACTGCCCTGCCCCATGGAATGGAGCAAAGCCAGGAAGGCTTACGGTAGCGTCTGCTTGCATTTATCAGGGAACTCAGAGTTGGTGCTGATCACAGGGCTCGGAGCTGGCACCTGGGTCGCCCGGCCTGCCGCCACAGCGCTTTGGGTGTGGAGACGCAGGTGAGGGTGTTTCTGCCCCGTGGAGCTCCGGCCCTGCTGGCTGCTGGCTGCACCCCTATGAAGTCTCTTGCATGCAGTACCCATGAGCCAACACCTTCTCATTTCAGAAAGCACCAGCAGATGGAGGAATCGGACTCCAGGAATTCCATTCTGAGCAAAGAAGCTTAGCCCAGAAGGGAGCCAACAGCCCCCATTTCTTTCCACCACCCTCACAGGGACAAAAACTCTACCTTTTTCTGGTTTGACAAAATTCTGGGCACTGCTGAGTGCGAGATCAACTTGACTCGGAGATGCAGGGGGGAAACCTGGGGGGATCCTGGCCTGCTTCAATTTGCTAAGTAGAGAAGGATGTAGACAAGTATGTTGCTAAGTAGACAAGGACAAGACCTCTTCACTCATTAAACATGATCACTTCTTACCTCATGGCACTGTCCCATGCACCCACTGAGGCTCTTTAGGCCACCCCAGTGCCCAGTGGCAATTTTTCCCTGTTCTGGTACCATAACACATTTATCAGTAGGCAGTAAGCTGTGCCCTTCTACTGTCACTTGCTATCATTTTTGCCTAAAAGCTGCCTTTATTAACCATATTTCAGAAATATTTGTGCTGAGGCTGAACTTTTCCACACAGACTAACAGCACCCGGCCACAGTTTAATGAAGTCCTGAGTAACACAGAAACTCTGATGTAGTCTGTGGGAATTGCATATGTGTATAAAATGAAATAAAAACATTCATGTTTTTACTAAGAACACATGCCTTTTGTAAGAATTTGAATGGGCTCTGGGAGGTTTTGACCAGCTGCAAATGGAAGCTGGAGCACCACTGTGCACCACCTGCAATTGGTGCTAATTGCAGGGAACAACAAAGCCAAAAAAAAAAAAAAAGGTAAAAGAGTATTTGTGAATATACAAACATGTTCTTACCTATTTCGTGCAAATAAGCAACTGTGCACATGGGGGTAAATGCCCCCAAGCTTCCCAATTAAGGAGAAAAAGGAAGCCAATCTCCCATCAGAGACAGCGGAGTTCAGACAAGCATAGGAAGGAATTTAGTTCCTGCTCCCCATCAACCACACACTTGAATGTGCGGCTTCAAAAGGGTCGGTTTCACAGGACAACTTCCTCGCAAAGTTTCACAGGAAAAGTCTCTGGCAGCTATGTGAGAGCAACTACCAGCTGAGATAGAAGAAAACCAGGCTGGCCTGTGGCCACATCTACCACAACTCTGCCAGGGCTGGTTCTCCCCTGGCCAAACCTGGTGACCCACAGTGCTGTGGGCAGGACTGAATTTCCCTGACAGTCAGAGTCACCTGCCAGCACTGTGGACCTCAAGGTTCTCGCTGCAGGAGGAGGGATGCTGAGTCTCTCCCGGTCCTTGCCGAGCTAGGACAGACAGATGAAACTTTCAGGTGCAGGTAGGGCTCACCTGGGGGCTGGAGCCCACAGTCTCAGCACCAACAGGGCACATGGGGTGATTCATCTCCCAAACAGAGTGAAACACCCTGCAGCACTCATGAGACTTGGTAGGATGAAGCTCACCCAGCAAACCTGGAGAGCAGATGCAGCTGGTGAGCAAGAAAAGGTGGTTGTGTACACGATCTCCCGAGAGACCCTACAATAACACACACACAAGCACCCAGGCATTTCAAGAGGTGTCTTCAGGCATTTCATCCCAGCCCTCTAGGGGCTGGTGCCCACACCCCCAGTGCAGGACCCAGATGCACTGCAGCCCACCCCACCCTAACTCACCCAGGCACAGGTCTGGGCTCAGGGGGGAAGGTGGGGGTTACAGCCCTCACCTGAGGGGAGTCTGGAGACTCATGGGGTGTGTGAGGACCAATGGTCACATGAGGTGTTAGTGCAAAGACCTACAGTCACCTGGACGGGGGGGGTGGGGGGGGACAGGGACACGACAATGAGGACCGGTGGTCACCTGAGAGGACTGTAAGAACCAATGTCACCTGAGGGGACTGTAAGGACCAATGGTCTGCATGGACAAACAGCTCCCCTGCCTGCTTTGGTCATTTGCTGACCAAAGGAAGTGACAAAATCAAGGAGAAAGAAGTTAAGACCTCTGCTATAACAAGAAAGAAAGTGAAAAAAAACACCCAACAAAAATGGGAGGATGAATACATTCAATAGAGATGAGGAAGAGCTAAAGCGGAACTTCTGGTCCACTGCAACAGTGGAAGATATCTGGAGAAAATTCAGAGGGGACTGAACGCATCATGAGCACCTGCAAAGCCAGGTCTCTGCTCCTGCCTCATCAGCTACTCAGCCACCAGTGACCCCACATGCACCTGCAAAGCCAGAGGCCTGCTAATGGCCTATCAGCTGCTCAGCAAGAAGTGACCAACAGTCACCTTAAGGGTAACCGTGAGGACAAAGACTGCATGGACAAAGATCCCCCTACCCCTTCCGTCACTGGCCATGCCATGGCTGCGCTTTGTCATCCTACCAGCTAAACACTCTCTTCTGACACTAGCACTGGTGGACCTGCTGGGAAGGAGGTGGACATTGTTGTGTCGTGGCCAGACATCCCCTGGGTGATGCCCAGGTGACCTGCTGGGGAAGTGGGATTGTTGGTGTCATTTTTGGGCCTGCCATGCCACCACAGCATCCCCACTTCTTCATGGGACAGCTCCCTGGAAGGGAACGGGTTCAGTGTTTGGAGGTTACCAGGGCACACCCCCTCAAACTTCCCCTTGGCTGTGGTTTCAGTTCTGCCTTCGACCCCAACATGGGCAGCCCCAGGAAAGGGGAAGAGAAACTGCAGGGTGAGGGGATGCGCCAGGGGACAGCCAGGGAGGAGCAGTGGATAGGGGACATTGTGGGGGTGGGGCCAGCTCTGGTCCCCCCATTGACCCTCCAGTGCTGAACACTGGTAACAATGGGGACAGAGCAGGGGTATGGACTCCACCATTCCTGTTCGCATGCCCAGGGCGCATTTGGAGAGGGGGATAGGGTTCCCCACCAAAGATGGTGGGAAGGAGAGGGGAGTGCCAGGTTGCAGCCCAGCCCCAGGCCCTCTCCTGGGGACATTTATGGGAGCATTGGAGCTCCCCAGCACTGTTCCTGCAGCCATGGGCTGAGCAGGAACTGCTTGTCACCTCCTCCATGGGGACGCCCGTCCCAAGGGTTAAGCAGGCAGTGCAAGGAGGAGCCTGAGCTGGAGGTGCCAGAAGGAGCCCAAAGTAGCCCTTCTCCCCATGCGGGGCTGAGAGGACAGTGGCCATCTTTCTCCAGTCAGGGCTGAAATCCAAAAGACATCATCACCTCCATCAGAGCTGATGCATCCTACAAGAATGGGGATGGGGGTGAGGTACCATCAGTGGGGAGGGGAAGTCAGGGGAACCCAGCTCAGGTCCTTGAGCATCTGTTTTCTCCTAGTGCCATTTCCTGGACCTCCCTTTTCCTCCCCTCTCCTTGTGTCTGGGCTCTCCCCAGCCCTAGCCTGTTGCCGCACTTCATGCTCAAGAACTTATTTCAACTTTCCTCCCTCCCACACATCCCCAGCCCCCAGCTCAAAACCTCTGGGGCCCTCCCCAACACGTCTGCACCAGTCCCATTGGTGGAGAGCCACCGCTGTGACTGCTGGGCTTGTGACCCCATGGGTGGTGCTTCCTCTTCCTGCAGTCGCAGCTGCTGCTGCTGCTTCAGCCTTGCCTGCATGCACCATGCAGCCCCCTCACCTCCTCCTCTTCCTCTTCCTCCCCCTCCTTCTCCCTGGGATGTGGGCAGACCCAGAGGGTAAGTGGGAGCCCTGGCTCACCCCAACCTCTCTCACCCCCCAGACCCCACAGGTTCCTCAGGGGAGGCATGGCCAGGCCACTGTCCTCTGCATGGGGGGGATGATCGCTAGCATCAAAGGGCCACCCTCCACCATGCAGCACCCAAAGGTGCCCTGTTCCTGCCCACCCTCTCTGTTCCTGTCTCCAGCTCAGGGCTTCATGCTCCACCGGCTACAGCACAGGGGCTCAGGCACCGAAGCAGAAGTGGGACCAGGGGTCCCCAGTGAGGCCTAGGGTGTTGGGGTTCCCCTAAAGGTGCCTTCCTTCTACAGGGAGCCCATGGGTGCCAGGGGGATCTCAGCTCTACGTGATGGTCTGGGCCCCTTCCAGCAGCCTCTTGTTTGTTGGGGAGGTGCACCTGCAAGAGGGTGTTTTGGGTGCTACCGTTGCACAGAGCGTTTCACCACAATGCCGTGAGGCCTCATGTTTCCGGGGTGGGGGAGGTGGGGGAGGGGGCGGG